CCCCATTTTCAGTTGAGGGCATGGAGGCTCAGAGGTTGAATCACGTACAGAGCTGGAATTTGAACCCAAGTCGGCCTGCCCCCAAACCTAAGCTGTTTGGCCCTATTGTGCTGTTTATCTCAGGCATCATCTGGCCATAGATGGTGGCAAGACTGGCAGTATTGAGGCCAGCTCAGAGGGAATGCTTATCCTGGTCAGCAGAGAACTCACCAGGGTCTGACTCAGGCAGTGGGATGGAGAGGGAGGAGGAGGCTGTAGGATTTTGCAGCTGCCTTGGGGTCAGCGTCATCAAAGGTGGCCTAAGATTTGGGGAAGGAGCCTTAAGGGACAGTGCCACTGCTGTCCAAGCCCTGAAGCGTCTCTGTGTGCAGGGGGTATAGTCTTGTCCTAGAGGGGTTCCTAAGGGCAGAGACAGCCTCAAAGGTAGCAACTCCAGGGAATCTCACAGGGAGATAATAAGTTTCCTGGGGAGGAGGTGAGGTCTTCATCACTGAAAGTATGCAAAGAGTCTGGCAAGTTGGCAGTGGTCAGAAGGCATGCCTCAGTGGGTTAAGCCTGGGTGACCTCTCTCAGTTCCCCTTTCATCTTAGAACCTCAACATTTGAGGTGGTGCTGGCTCACTTCCCCACCCTGCTTTTCCCTCAGGCTTTCTGAGTTGCCTCTTCCTGCACACCTTGGGAAGTTCCACATACGCTTGACCTGCAGTGCTCGGCCTAGGAGCCTCTTAGACCTCTGGAATACACTCAGCCCAGCTGGCCTTCGAGGTGCCCCTTGGGGATGTTGGGATTAGTGGCCAGAGCCTAGGCTGCTGGGGACTGTGGTTTCACAGAGGAATTGAACTTTCTGCTTCCAGTTTGGATTAATCTAATTTAAAAAATATGCTTCTTGAATGAGCATTTATTGAGCACTCATGATTTGAGGGCAAGGTATTGGAGGTAGCCTGCTGGAGGTAGCCCACTCTGTGACCACAGTGCCCTATGCCCCACCCCGTCTCAATGCTCAAGCAAGACTGCCTCTTCTCCACTCCCTGTGTGTGTCCCTGTCCTTTCCTGCCCCCACGGTTCTGCTCATGACAGGGATGCTGCACTCTGTCATCACCCCAAAAAACCCTCCTCCTCCAGTGCCCAGCTCCAGTGTCACCTCTTCCATGCAGTCATTCCTAATTTCCCAGAGCCGGCATTGCCTGTTTCCTCCTTTACATGCACAGAACTCATCATCTGAATCTCTCATGGGGCCCTTCACACACATGGCTTTGAATTCTGGTTCCTCAAAGACATGTCTCATATCCTCTAAGCTGTGAGCACTGGAAGAAGTGGTTTAGGAGTCTAAAGTCCTGAGTTCAAATGCAGCTCCGCCACTCTTTTTTTTAAATATAATTTATTTTTTTTTTTGTTGGGCATATACACAGCAGAACATACACCAACAGTTTCTAAGTGTACAATTCAGTGACATTGCTTACATTCTTCAGGTAGTACGGCCATTCTCACCTTCCTTTTTCAAGTTGTTCCTCCCCCACTAACATAAACTCACTGCCCGCTAAGATTCCTGTGTAATCTTTCTAGTTGCTGTTGTCAGTATGATCCCAGATAGATAGATCCTAAAAGAGCACAGTGCTCAAAGCGGACATCCTTTATTAATTAGTTAAGCTAAATGGTTGCTTGGTTTTAAGAAGATTTCAGGGAATATTTTTGGTTTAAGATTTAAAGTTTAAAGATTATCTCAGGGCAGTAGTTTCAGGGGTTCATCCAACCTCTGTGGCTCCAGAAAGTCTGGATTCCATGAGGATTTGAAATTCTGTTTTGCATTTTCCCCTCTTTGATCAGGATTATTCTATAGGCAGCTCTGCCACTCTTAGCTGTGTGATTTAGGGCAAATTGCCTACATCTCTCTGGGCACTGATTTCCTCGACTGTAAAATAGGAATAATACTAGTCCTGTTATGCTAGGAAGTTGAGCAGGTCAGTGCCTGATGCATAGTAAGAGCCTAGTAAGCATGAGCTGTTCACTGATAACAATGGTTGTTATTATTGTTTATAACTATGAGGTGATCTGTGCTTTTAGAGACGGAAGGAGGACTATCAATAATCTGAGTTTCTGAGGTTTCTGCTTAATGTCTTGAGAAGGCTTGTTGAGAGGAGGAAACTGAGGCCCAGAAAGGTGGGGCAGTTTTTTCACGGAGTGGTGGGGCTATTGGCCTCCTCCAGGCGACCTGACAGGATTTCCTATTTGTTATGCTATTTTCCTCTTTTCTCCTTTCAGCAGGGTTAAGGTGCTTGAGTTCCATAGGCTCAGCTTTCTCCCTGATGGCCATGTTGAGGGGATCTAAAGCTTGCACCAGACAAGTTGGCCTGGCTGGGAGGCCCCACTGGGCTGGTGGGCCCCATGGCTGCCCTCATGACCAGGGACCCATATCCCCAGACTCCATGTGCTGGGACTGGAGCCTCGTGAGGCCTCCTGGCAAGCCTCCCTATGGCCTGGGAGTGGGGAGAGGATGGTGGTAGAGAGAGGTGACCTGGGCTAGGTCTTGGGGCAGGTGCCTAGGAGATCCACGCAGAGCAGTGGTTGGGCTTAGGCTCTGGAACCAGCCAGTCTGGGTTCCAATCCCTGCCTGGCCACTTCCTGCTTGTGGAACCTTGGGCAAGCTCTTTGGTTTCTTCACCTGTACAAAAGGGATAATAACTGCATCTATCTCATAACATTTAGAAAGATAATGCAGGTAAGGTGCTTAACTAAGAGCTCAGTCTATGTTAGTCATGATTATTGTTGTAGTTGGTATTATTGTTATTAACTAAGGAGCTCATTTAAGGAGCCCTGGTAATGCAACGGTTAAGCACTCAGCTGCTAACTCAGAGTTTGGGGGTTCGAACCCACGCAGTGGCTCTGCAGCAGAAAGACCTGGTGATCAGCTTTCATAAAAGATTACAGCCTAGAAAACCCTGCAGGGCAGGTCTACTCTGTCACATGGGGTCACTGTTAGTTGAAAATTGACTTGATAGCACCCAGCAATAACAACAGAAACAGTAACAAAAAGGCACTCATTTAATCCTCACAACAGCAGTGGGAGATGGGTACTATTATTCTCCCCCTTTTGAAAAAAAATTTTGTTGTGGTGAAATACATATAGAAAATATTTGTCATTTCAGTCATTTTTATGTGTACAATTCAGTGATATTAATTACATTCACCATGTTGTACAACCATTGCCGTTTCTAGATTTTTTTTCATCACCCTTAACAGAAACTCAGTACTCCTTAAGTAGTAATTCCCCATTTCCCCCTTCCTCCTGCCCTTGGTAACCACTAATAAACTTTGGTCTCTATACATGTGCTTATTCTAGATATTTCATATGAGTGGGATCATGCAACATTTGTCTTTTTGTGTCTGACATATCACATAACATAATGTTTTCAGTTTTCATCTATGTGGCAGTAGTTATCTGAACTTCATTTCTCTTTATGGCAGAGTAGTATTCCATTGTGTGGATATACCACATTTTGTTTATTCATCTGTTGATGGACAAATGGGGATTGTTTCCACCTTTTAGCTATTGTAAATAGTGCTGCAATGAACATTAGTGTACAAGTATTTGTTTGAGACTCTGCTTTCAGGTCTTTTGGGTGTATACCTAGGAGTGGAATTGCTAATTCTAATGCTAATTCTGTGTTTACAAAACTGTGTTTAGCCAAACTGTTTTCCACGGTGAGTGCACCATTTTACATTCCCACCAGCAATGGATGAGGGTTCTAATTTTTCCACTTCCTTGCCAACAGGTATTATTTTCAATTTTTCTGATAATAGCTATCCTCACGGGGTGAAGTGGTATCTTATTGTGGTTTTGTTGATGCCTTTGATTATGGTGTTGGCAAAGAATATTGAATATACCATGGACTGCCAGAAGAATGAACAAATCTGTCTTGGAAGAAGCACAGCCAGAATGCTCCTTAGAAGCGACGATGGCGAGACTTTGTCTCACGTACTTTGGACATGTTATCAGGAGGGACCATCCGTGGAGAAGGACATCATGCTTGTTAAAGTACAGGGTCAGAGAAAAAGAGGAAGACCCTCAAGGAGATAGATTGACACAATAGCTGCAACAGTGTGCTCAAACAAAGCAATGATTGTGTGGATGGTGTAAGACCGGGCAGTATTTTGTTCTGTTGTACATAGAGTCTCTATGAGTCAGAATCAACTCAAGGGCATCTAACAACAACAACAGTGACTAATGATGTTGAGCATCTTTGCATGTGCTTATTGGCCATTTGCATATCTTTTTTAGTGAAATGTCCATTCAAGTCCTTTGTCCATGTTTTGATTGGGATGTTTGTCTTTTTGTTGTTGAATCTTGCGAGTTCTTTATATATTCTGGATATTAAACCCTTTTCAGGTATATGGTTCCCAGAGATTATCCCCTTTTAGCAGATGTGGCAAACAAGGCTGGGAGAGGTGGACAGCTCACCCTGGGGCAGTGTAGACTCGGAATCACGGTCAGTGGCTGCTGATTTCTGAGGGGCTGCTCTGGCCGGAGGACACAGATGCTTTGTGAGGCACCAGAAGGCAGGTCCGATGGGTACATGTGTCAGGGGAGACTGATTTCAACCCAGTGTAATGAGGAAACTTTAAAAAGCAGAGCTACCAAGATAGAAGGCATGTGTCTGGAGGGAGCGAGTTCCCCCATTTCTGGAGCTGTGGAGCAGAATCTGGGAGCCCACAGTGAGATGTTATGGTGGGGGTTCTGGCCAAGTCCCGGCTTGAGGTATTTGGCTCTGTGAGGGAGGGCCTTGGATTCTCCTCATCCCCTGCTGGCCGAGGATTGGCCTGCCCAGGCAGGTCTCACGGGGCGCTAGGTGGAGGTTTGCTGTAGTCATCACTCAGTGGCAGCCACCTCTGGTTCACCACCAGCCTTGCCAATAGCTACCTGCCCAGGCAGAGGCCAGGTGAGGAGAAGTGCATGTCGTCATCTCAGGGCCTTTACCCGTGATGCGCCCTCTGCCTCCTTATCCCTGTTAACTCCTGCTCATGCTTTTACAGTGGTCTTAAGCATCACCTATTTAGGGAAGCGCTCCCGAATCCACCTGCAGGTTAAATCGGTGGTTCTCGAAGGTGGCCTCTGGACCGGCAGCATTAACATCACCTGGGAACTTGTTAGAAATGCAAATTATCTAGCCCCAACCCACACCTACTGAATCAGAAACTCTGAGGGTGGGGCCAGTAATGTGTGTTTTAACAAGTCTTCCAGGGGATTCTGATGCTCACAAAACTTTAAAACCACTGGGATAGGTCATAAAAAAAACCTCAAAACATTGAAGCCTCTCTCCTTGGGCTCTCCTGTTTTCAGCATATCAAGACACCCAGCAAATGTTGGGATCCAGAGCAAAGCCCAGCCTCTCTTTACCCTGCCTTCAAGGAGCCACCATCTGGTAAAACAGCGACGGGGCACAACTAACCCCAGCAGGATTTCAGGAGACGGTACTGGGGCAACTTGAGGAAGGCATGAATGGTGGAGGGGACTGGAAGTGTGAGGGGCTGTGAGGGTGGCGAGGATGGTGAATCTCTGGGTGTTTTTGGTGGCAGGCTGTGTGCTGGGGCCAGGGCTGGGGTCGGGTAGAGAGTGTGGGTTCTGTTTCAGAGAAGGGTGTGGGCTGCTGCTGGTGTATGGGGGTGATTTTAAGGCCAGACGTGGTCCAGGAGGGCTGAGGGTGACCAGTCCAGTGGTTTTAATAATGACGATGATCATAATTGCTTCTAACATTGAGAGCTTGCATGTGCCTGCTAAGTACTTTCTGTGTAATTTCATCTGGAGTAATCCCTAGAACAACCGTATAAGGTAGGCACTGTTATGTCTGTTTTATAGATGGGAATACTGAGGTCACAGCTAGAAGATGGTAGAACTGGGAATTTTGTATGAGGTGCTTAGAAGCATGCTCTCGTTGGAAAGGGGTCAGTAGGAGATTGTCTTGGAATGTTTGTACAGCAGGTACAACTTAGATTGGTTTTCTGAAGGTATGAAAAGTACATTTCATCAAATGAGTGAATCAGGCTTTGGAGGAGGGAGGGCTGTGATGGAGATTGTGTTAGGGTCACCACTGCAGATATTGTCATTTTTTGTTTTCATCGATGGGCCATCTGAGGCTAAAACTGAGTGACGAGTTCAAGATCCCACAGCCAGGACGAGCGATAAAACTAGAGAGATGAAAGTGGGTCTCCTTTGGCTCTAGCAGGAGGGGGTGGGGGTCAAGATCAGAGTCCACCATCCTCCCTGCCTGTTCATTCTGTCTCAGTGTCCCCAAGGTACTTCCCAAGAGCTCAAGGGCCTCTCATTTCACGATTGGGGAGCTGAGGCCTGGAGAGGGGCCGGGACTCACCCAAGGCCATACAGGGTGTCCGTGTCACAGTTGGGACCAGAACCCAGAGCTGCCTCTACCCCGCTGCAGGGAAGGATTTGTTTCCCGAAACTACAGTCCCCCCCACCCCCACCCCAACCATCTTCAGCTGTAACCCTCAGGGTGGCCCAGAGCAACGCTGGGGGCAGAGATGGGTGTGCCCTGGGGAGAGAGCTGCCAAGGAGGGTGGGGCAGCCTCCAAGAGGAAGAACACTGAGAAGCCCAAACTCCAGACGGAAACCAAGTGTATTTTCTCAGTCTTGAGAGGATATTTGGAACAATGGAGGTCGGATGGGGGAAGCTGGACTATAAAAACGGTTTCTTGATATCCTTATAAAAAAAAAAAAGTAGAGTCTTTAAGTTTGACTTTTGTTTCTCTGAAGGATGTTTATATAACTGCTTGAGGGCAAGATCCCAGTTTTGTTTGTGAGATTTGTCAGAGGCTTTAAAAAAATTTTTTTTGTTTATAGACTCAGCTTTGAAGCTGGGAAGAAATTGGTCTGGCCCAATCTCCCCATTTTATTGTTGGGGAAACTGAGGCTGAGATGTGGGAAGGGGCCTCCTTGAGGTTGCACGGTGAGGCAGCAGAGCACATGGGATCAGAACTTGTGTCTTCTGTGCTTCATCAGGGGCTGTTCTTCCTGATTTACCACCCTCCCTCTCCCCCTGGGTCACTGGCTGGTGTGGGAGCTGGGCAGGAGCTGTGGAGGGGTGCCCCTTGGCAGTGCCTCTGAGCTGCTGGCTCTGGTGATTTGCCTGGTGGACAGAAGGCTGAGACGGTGTGCTTGGTGATGCCGGGACCCAGCTGCAGAGCATCTGCCCAGCAGCTGGGAGCTTTGAGTCACCCCCAGTGGGTGCAGAGGCTCGGGCCAGTGTGTGTTGTGATTCATCCTGTTCTCCCAGCCCTGAATGGATGACGAGGCCTGAGCCTTGATTCATGCCCACGCACACAGACTAAGGCTGCTGCCAGTTTGGGCTCCAATTTTGCAGATATGAGGGGACACGGGGAGCCTGGGGGTGTTCCCTCCTTCTGCCACTTCCTGTCTCATGCGTATCCCATGATCTCGACCCATCCTATTTCCACCAGTGCAGGGGTCCGTACCTCTGAAATCATGTACAACATTTTGTAAGCATTTGTAGGAATGAATTTTCTGAAGAGACAGTCTGTAGGTTTCATGGTGACCACCTGAAATACTGGTAGGATGTCAGGGGGCTGCTTGCACGCATGCAGGCTGGAGAGAGGGTTGTTGAAGAGGAGGTGTGGTTCAGGTAGAAAGTAGCCTGGCGGCAGTGTAGCGTGACGGTTCATTCAGCGTGTGGCCTCCCGAGGCCGACTGCTGAGTATAAACCAGCTCCTCTGCTTATTAGCTGGTTGACCTTGGTTAAGTCGCTTGGTCTCTCTGTTCTTCAGTTTCCTCATCTGTAAAATGGGGATAATAAGAGTATTTACCATATGGTGTCTTAGTTAGGCCTTAAAGTGAGATAATACATATGAAGGACTTGTCCCAGTGCCTGGTACAAAGTAATCACTTAGTAAAAATTATCTGTTATTGTTATTAGTTCCAACTCTCCTGCTCATTTGCTGTGTGATCCTGGTAAGTGCCTTATCTTGAGGTCTTAGCTGCTATCTCCAACTCTGCAGTCTGTGTTGGGCTTTCCAGGAGCTGTAGGGCAGGGCCGAGCAGAGGAGGGAGGGGGGCCCTCTCTGCATTCCAGGACTCCCCAGGCCAGGCCCTCCCTGGTACCACCATGTGTGGCTTTGTCCTGAGGCTGGGTTATATAACCAGCCGCACTTGACCAGGCAGGACATGATTCTCAACCTTGTTTTGTCCGTCTGTTGTCTCTTTCTCTCCCTTCCCCTGGTGAGCGATTGTATTAGCCGACCTGTTCCCCAAGCTGCACTGGTGAAATTAGACCCGTGCTTTTCTACTATCTGATTGATTTAGTCCAGAGGTTGGCTGTGCGGGCGGCCCCTCCTCCTGCCGCCTGGGAACAGAACAGAGCTGATGCCTTTGTGCCTGCTTCTGGAAGGAGACAGGGTCTCCTTTGGGGGCAAGATGGGCTTTCTAGATAGCCAGGGTCCTTGGTCCTGCCTTCTAGGTCATAAGGCTGGGGGCTGCTGCCCATGGCCTCTGGGTTTCCAGTGGGTATGACTCCCTACCCAGGAGTGTCCTCCCCATCCTTGCAGACCAGTGCCAACGCCGCCTCTCCCCGGAAGTCTTCCTTGATAACTCATCTGCAGGGAAGTCAGCCTCCACTGAACTCCACAGTGTGTTCTCTGTCCGTTTTATGAAAACAGAGGTCACAAACTGCCAGGCCACATCCGGCCCACAGGCAGAATTTACTTGGAGATTTTACATAAAAGTCTGACTTCTGGCTTCACTTCAAAAATTGGAAGATTGGAAAACCCTGAGCCTACATTCTCCAGTGGCCATTGCTACCCGCTTCATATGGGGCCCATACACTCCACTTTGCCCCATCTCCTCCCAGCCACCTCCTGCATTTACAGGATCTTCTTAGCCTCTCTAGGCCCTGAGTCTGCAACCCTGCCCTTAAGGTATGGAGTCCGTTCTTTTCTGCGTTATGGTGTGGTGTTGGTATCTGTCTCCTCTGCGGGCTCTTTGAGGACAGAGTGTGTATGTGTACGTGTGGAGGGGGGGGGTTTGATTCATCTATGTGTCCTTCACATCAGTTTGTTTAGGCACAGAGCTGTGTACACAGTGGGAGCATAATAAATGCACTCTGTGTGAATGAAGGCATGACAGTGGTGTGACTCCACCAGCTGTGAAGTTTCCATTTAATAGAAGCTTCTGGATCAGCCTGCCCTGTGGCCCTCAAACCCTCCTCCCAGATAAGCTGCAGCTGCTTAGCCACTGACCCAGGAAGCTTAAGCTGCAGATAAACAGTGGCTGAAAGTGCTGCCTCCACCCTGAGATATCATGAAGGAGAGGAACATTTCACCTGCCACTGCCCCAGGTTTTCCTCTCCCAAGGGGCTTGGAGCTGGATGGGGGAGGGGAGCTGGGACCAGCAGCCTTCAGAGAGTGTCAGGTCCAGACCCCTGTGTCTCGGTTGGCAGAGAGGGGTTGGGAGGGGGTGCAGATCAGGTGCAGGTGTCTGTAGACCACCCTTTGAGGAACCTTGTCTTGGGTTGGTGGGGAGGATCCATGGGTGGCAGTGCTGAGTGCCATCAACATGCCCCCTTTCCTCTCTGAACATCTCTTTCTCCCTCTGTGCAGGATCATGCTGGGCTCTGCTGGCTTGTCATAGCCCTTAAGTGCCTTGGGAGGCATCCTTGGAGAGGCAGACAGAGAGGGGATGGGGCCAGTGGCCAGTGTCTGAGTGGGGTGAGGGCTCCCAGTCCTGGCCCTACCCTGGCCAGGCCCAGAGGGGTTTCGCATCCTTTAGGTAATAGCTCAGGAGAGGAGCACCCTGATGCCATGAGAGGAGGCAGGCTGGGCATCCTGGTCAGAGTGGGCAGGTGCACTGCCCTGGAGATCTGTCCCCACGGGCGAGCCTGAGCCTGGGGAAGTGGGAAACTGGCCTGGGTGGCCCATCAGAGACAGAAGCCGAGTGCCTCAGACTGAGTAGCTGAGGCTTCAAGTGCAGACCTGAACAAGCCCTTACAGATGAGTAAACTGAGGCACATAGAGGGGAAAGGACTCTCCCATTGTCACACAGTGAGTGAATGGAGAGCTGGGCCTGGATCCCAGGTCTTCTGACTCCTAGACAAGACCATGCTCCTCTGTCTCCACCTCCCTCTAGATGGTAGGTGCTAGATCACAGCAGGGACAGTGGTCTGATTGTGATGACCTGGAGGCAAGGGCCTGGAAAAGTCACTGCCACCCTGGAGGCACAAAACTGGTTGGGTATGCAAATAACCCCTCCAACATCCTCATCCCACTTTTTTGTTTTTCCTTAAGCTGTCTTAGATGGGCCCGCTGCCCCGTGCCCATTTCCGCCTGGCACTGGGCTTCATATGCTTGATTCTTAGAACAAAGCTTCCTTCTGACTATCCTCCTGCTGACAACAGGAAAAGGGCAGGCGTGGCACCAGGCCTCCTCCTCTGCCTTGTCTCTTGGGGAGC